GGAAAGTAGCAAGGAGCAGAAGCCCACAATCTAAAGAGGTTACACACAGCCAAGGGCCGAGTGTGGCAAAATATTAAAACAACGCACCGGAGTACTCAGGACTGCAACGTACAGAACAACAAGAAGAACAAACGAAAGTATAAGGACGAAGCGAGTAGCCCCCTTGTGGACACAGTTAAAGTAGGCAGTCACATTACACAAACAGAACTATACGTAATACTTGAAACACAAGAAACTCAAACCAAACACACTCATATAATACAAAAGTATAAACAACACAGGGTCCCACTAACAAAAAAGGCCAAAAATACAGAACAACAACAATCACACAACAGAAAAAATATAAAAAGCCATTGTAACGCGCAGAACACAACACAAAAAGAACAAGACAAACAACACCGCACATATAACGAACCTCTTGAAGGCTCCTCTGCACTCTCCGACGATGGGCACCTCTTAGCAGGACTCGTCTCTATCCACTGCCGGCCTCGGTCCTTCGGCCCCAGTCGTCCATTTTTGGTTCACAGGACCCGGCGTCCTATGATCCTGGTTCACAGGTCCCGAGGTCCACTGTTCCTAGTTCACAGGCCCCGGAGTCCTCATATCCTGGTTCACAGGTCCCGAGGTCCACTGTTCCTGGTTCACAGGCCCCGGAGTCCTCAGTCCATGGTTCAGAGGTCCCGGCGTCCTCAGTTCCTGTTACAACAGAAGTCCTGGCGTCCTTGATTTTTGGTTCACAGGTCCCGGCGTCCTCGGTTTCTGGTTCGCAGATACCGGAGTCGTCAGTCCATGGTTCGCAGGCCAGGCGTCCTCGGTTCCTGGTTCAGAGGTCTCGGCGTCCTCGGTTTCTGGTTCACAGGTCCCGGCGTCCACGGTTCCTGGTTCACAGGTCTCGGCGTCCTCGGTTTCTGGTTCACAGGTCTCGGAGTCCTCGGTCCTTGGTTCTCAGGTCCCGGCGTCCTCGGTTTCTGGTTCACAGGTCACGGAGTCCTCGGTTCCTGGTTCACAGATCCCGGCGTCCTCGGTTTCTGGTTCACAGGTCTCGGAGTCCTCGGTCCCTGGTTCTCAGGTCCCAGTGTCCTCTGTTTCTGGTTCACAGGTCTCGGAGTCCACGGTTTCAGGTTCGCAGGTCGGAGTCATCAATCCATGGTTCGCAGGTCCCGGCACCCTCGGGCCCTGGTTCACAGGTCCTGGTGTCCCCGCCACTAGAATATCACGGATCCTGCCTGGCAACAGTTCGACGTGACTACCGCCAGCTACAACGATGGCTTCACTCTTATTCTCTTGGTTGACTGGGGAAATGTTGACTCGGAGGTCCTACTGGCTACTGGTTAGGGTTGACGTCAGGTTCTCCGGCGGTGTCAGGGTTATGTCCATTAGCAGCAATACCAGAATCACGTACTGTAGGGTTTATGTGCATAAAACTTAAAAGCTGTGAGAAGTTAGGACGCAGTTTCAAATTGAAATAGAGCGTGGGGAAGGATTGACCCTCAAGAGAATGCATTAAAAATGGATTAGTCGTTGGTCTATCGGGATCACCTACAGCAGTGGTTCCCAAACTTTTTCAGGCTGGCGCCCCCTTTGGCTCCCTAGTGAATTTCTAGCGCCCCCCACCGACATATAAAAACATACGCCTCTTTCTTGAAATTTAGTACGCTGTAATTTTAAAAAATAATGGTTAAACACAAATGTGTATTTCACAAATAGAACCCCATTTAGCAAACCAATATGTATTTCAGCTGCTTTAACTGTTTCAGAACTAGAAACCTAGGACGTCTCGGGCAAATTTACGGCCGGACTCGTGGCCGGTCTCCCTGCCAATATCCAAATTCAGTGACCACGAATATCTCCCAAACTAATGAACGCAGCGCAATGAAACTTGGAACATGTATTCATCAGAACCTAACGGTGATGTTTAGCACGTGAAAATTTGTTGCATTTCACCTTCATTGGTGAGTTCTATTGCGATGCAGGCCGAAATTCGCAGTGATCAAAGAATTTCTTCCTAGCTACTGAAAAAATTTGAACGAAATTTTGAATATATATTCCTAACTACCAAACGGGGATTTTATTTTTTGTTCAACTTTCAATAAATTTTTCGATTTCGCCTTCGTGTGCGAGTTTTTTTTCATCTCACCGTCATTCATGATTTCACACTTCCTTATATTTGCCTCGCATCGCCGGATATTTTGTCGCTTAAATTCGCAGTGATCAAGAAATTTCTTCTAAACTACTGAAGAGATTTCAACGAAATTTTGTATGTAAATACCTTACTTCCCAACGGTGATGTTTAGCTCGTGACAATTTTATAATTTGCTTTCGTTATCGAGTTATACAGATATAGGAGAAACGACCGGCTTTTCTACCGGTCGGTTTAACCAAGAGCCGTTTACGTATATAGCCGTATACGTATAGCCATATAACTCGCAAACGGAGACAAAATCGAAAAAAATTGTAACAAGCTAAATATCATCGTTGTTGAGGTTAGGTTTTGAAATACTAAGTTTTGTTCAAATCTGTTCAGTAGTTTGGAAGAAATTTCTTGATTACTACGAATTTAAGCACGTATTGCCGTTTAAATCACGAATATAGGTGAAATTAAAAAAAAAATCTCGCAAACGAAGGCAAAATCGAAGAACATTTTCAGGAGCTAAACATCACTGTTCGGTATAGTTAGGACTGTAAATTTAAAATTTCGTTCGAATCTGTTCAGTAGTTTGGAAGAAACTCCTTGATCGCTGTGAATTTCGGCTCCTATCGCCATATAACTCACAAATGAACGCAAAATTAAAAATAATTTCACGTGCTGCACATTACCATTAGGTCCTAATGAATACATGTACCAAGTTTCATCAAGTTACGTTCATTAGTTTGAGAGATATTCCTTGATCGTTCGTTGATTTTGAAAATTGGCCGTGAGACCGGCCGCGAGTCCGGCCGTTAATTTGCCCGAGACGTAAACCCAGGGGAGGTTAAAAAAACAGATCTGAGTGAAAAAAAACCATAACCATCGCTGGGAGTCATGTGCTTCAAGTGTTGTGTATAAATCGTCAAACAAACGCTCAAACTTCTGACTTCGACTTAGGACTGCCGCCCCCCTATCGCCCCCCTATGGCCCTCTTCTTCCATACCGCCCCCCAAAATCTTTCCACCGCCCCTAGGGGGGCGATATCGCCCACTTTGGGAACCACTGACCTACAGGGTCACCAACAGGGCTTTTTGATGAGTACTCAGTAGGGATTGTGACAGGCATCAAGAAAGGCATCCAGACAGGATACCCAAAAGACATCGTATCAGGATATCGCGAGGGGTTCCTACCAAAGCTGAGGATTTTAGCTTCAGATATTCTGGCCGCATCTGAGCTGGAAAACCCGGCTGACGTTTCACGGATACCGGCTGCCATTCTGGCCTGGGCGGGGCTTCTTGGCCGACTGGAATCTGTATGCCAGTCCAAGCCGCGCTGGGAAACAGGATCCCAGTCCATGCACGCCGCGCTGGGAATCAGGATCCCAGTCCACGCCGCGCTGGGAATCAGGATCCCAGTCCACGCCGCGCTGGGAATCAGAATCCCAATTCGTGCCGCGCTGGGAATATGGGCACACGGCCACGGCTAGCGAGATCAACAAGGCCAGGGAATGCATCTACATTAGTTTTTACTAGTTCACTTCAGGATGGGTTTTGTTCTGAGCACTGCCTTGCCAGCAAGAGACGCGCCCTAGCGAACCTCTCCACACTTATCCTGCGCTCAAGATGCTCGTCTCTTGCATCTTTCAGAGTGGCAGGACTGCTGCGCATCCACACGCTTCCAGCCGCAGCCAAATGATCTCGACCTTGACTAAACTATCGTCTCTGGCATCCGGGAATCATTCTGGCACGACACTGATAGCTAATGCGAGCGAAATTTTCACCGTATACTGTACGAATAAATCATACATCTTCTTGTGTAACTAACATTCATTATTCATGTGCAAATTTCCAGTAAATATTGCTTGAATTATCTCATGGAAGTTCATTGTTTTGGGCAAGAAGTAATTCGCAACGTAAATTCTGTTTTCCGTCAACCCTGAACGTGACGTGCCCATGAAATATCTGATCACTTTAGATGTGCTTACGTGCACAGCTCTGAACAACCACGTTTGCTAAGTTGCCTCAGCGTAAATAACACCTATATTCACCTACCGCGCTCCGCGGGCAACTGAACTGACGCTGCCGCTTGCAGCCTTGCGGGTTGCCGCTACGGTCAGCTGAACTGCGGTGCCGGTGCGTATCCTAGTTACTGATTTTATTTTAGTCCATCTAACATCTTTCATTTGTAATCACCTCTGATGAAAGGTATGCCATATTCAGCCACTTTAGCAATGAGCAGTGTACATCAAGTATATTTCGGCATTCTAACTCCTAGAGTACGGATAAACTAATTTGCATTTACCAGAGGTATTTCAACGACTTGCCGTCTGTAGCCAAGGTGTTATGTCACACGTGCTTCGTATTTAATCACCTGAGTATTCTAGCGGCGCTCTCATTTTCAAGTGTTTTCAATGCATTTACTTCCGTCCGTGATTGTGATCTAAATTCATTTTGCTTTATTTTCATTGGATTCATCAGAAAATCTTACTTTCTCTGTTCTCACAAATCGGCGCACATTGGGTGTTTCTCACTGCAGGCAATACTTGCTCACTTTAATTAAAAGAAAAATATTGGGACTGACGAGTCTCTTGACTGGATCGACAATTGCAGCGCATTGATAGTAATTAGATCCTACATTTCATGCCTAAGTTCTAAATTTCATGCCGATCTGTTTGAATTGAGGGAGTCGTGAGCTGTTCGGTTGCGCGCAAGTGGCGTGTTGCGTTTGAGTTCGCTGGCGAATTCTCGAGTGAGTTCGGAAAAATATCTATGCGTTGTTTGCTCATCAATAGCCAATGTCCAATCCTCGGGCACCTAACTCATCTTAGACTTCAGAGCTCTTGGGAAGCTTAGGCGAAAATAAGAGACCACACTCATCGTATTACACAACGTTTATGAATTATATATAATCATATAACTAGCACATTTACACAATAGATGGACCAGACTCTGTAACACTTAATCATCGTACAAAGCGTGTTTATGTACAGAAATTAAATGATCTAGACTCATGGCAAACGATATAGAAAAATAACCAGGAAATATATCTTGTCCTAGATTTGTTTTGATTTTCCTTACTTACACAAAGCTCAACAAGTATTTGGTATTTGCCTCTACCTACATGATAGTTGATGGCAGGTCGGCAGCTCCATAACACAGCCGCACACACCGTATTGGCACAGACACACTTGTGCACTATACGACCAGTTTGGCCAAGTGTTCAAAATTTGCTTCCTCTGACAATGACATAACAATGAAGACAATGAAATAAACGGCAACTCCGCTGGAAGGTATAAACAATTGTAAACTCGTTGCATTCTAGATTTAATCCTTTAGGAATTCACGGAAGGAATAATGTGCAAAATAATGCGTAACTTAAGAGTTAAAATGGTCGGGCGCAGGCACCGAAGTGAACGCACCGTTCACAACTCCATGAGAACACCGACGGCGCTGTCAACGAAACAAATACAACAGGCGTAAATGGATGAAATAATTAATGATTAATGTTGTTTACTTCAATGAATCAAAAGCGTGAAAGTCATACAACGATAATGAATCATTACCCCTAGTAAAGCGCGCCCACTTTGTTCATGGAAGATCTACGGGCAGACTGGGCATCAAGTGATTGGGTTGCCGACAATAGGCCTGAACACAGAAGATTACGTTCATATAAAGCAGCTGCATTTCTCAACCAAAATTGCGGCATCTGAGATGACAATCTTCTCATAAAGTTGGAGCGACATGTCTGCGGCCCTCTACAACAACAAGCGAATTCAAAATTTCTCTGTAGACTTCTTAAATTTAATATTTGACTTTATTTAATATATATTTCATGATTTGTTTATAATAAAATGAATCTCTTAACCACACAGCGACCGATATAAGGTGTTGCATATGTCGGACGGACGTCCGTGTCCGTGTAAGCCTACGGTGAGCATCGTATAGATGTTGAATAATTATAGGCTTGACGGTATTTGGCGGTAACTCATTAGCTGCCAGAGGCAATTGCGTGCAGGTATGGCGCCATCGCTCGCCGCTCGTATACTTGCCTGACCAGCACGGGACGATTGCACGATTGATCAAAATTATTTTAAATGCACAATCAAAAAATACATCATAGGTACATGCTAGACATATGACACAGGTTTACCAGAGAAGGCTATAGTCTTCCTGATAATTATCGACACAAATATCGCTTGGTTCTAGAATTATGCAGCCAACTTTGGGACATATAGAATCTATCATTTAGCCTCCCTTTTCATCTCTCCAGATACTTTAGTTACTAATATATATTTAGCTGGAGAGATCAACCATGGCATCGGTCAGTAGAACTCGAGAACACAAGGAAACTTTCCAACGTAACGACCTCATGAGGAGCAGAATTACCCTACAGTGCTACGACGCACGCCAGCCTCCGCAGTTATTAGAATTACACTGCACATAAATGCCCTAGAAAACATAGATAGTATAAACTACACCGTTTACTCCGAAGAAAATTAAATGTCAATAAAGTATGAAATTAGCACGGCATTCAGGCTCGCGCAGTTTGAATCCCAGTGGGAATGGAACAGTGTAACAGTTTTTTAATCCTAAATGATCACAGATATTCCTCAGCTAGTATAATTTCCGCAGCTCGTAGCGTTCAGAAATGTTCAGCGATTGCTACGCTGCACACGTCAGTAGCTGCCACCTTCAGAGTTTCATCTCCCACACGAGGATGTGGGCGTCAGTGTTGTTGTGGGGCGGCCCGTTGGTGGGGGTTGGATCCCTGATGCACTTGTACCCCTGACCTCCCGTGAGCACGAGCACCGTCCTAGGCTGGTCCACATCAAGCCCCGGTCCCCCGCCTGAACTTCCGCTGCCAGTTTTGTTGGCCGCACATTTACGGTTCAGAGTTCCCGCTAGATTCCTGCTGAGGGGTTCACCGGAATCGCTGTTGCTAACTTTGGGGGGAACTTTGAGAATTTCTTTATTGTTTTTTAAGGGCGAAGACTCGACGGGCCCCAAAGCGGAGTGGAGCGATAATTTAGGTCTTGTCTCTGACGTCAGCGACGAGGAACTGGCAACAGTGACGTCGCTGGAGCTACGACAATGCCCTCGTCGCATTGTTTCTGAAGGCTGGTCTTCCGATGAGACTTCTTCTCCCGTCGACATCAAAGTTGCTGAGGAATCACCTGCTGTCGGGAAATTTACTTCAGTAACCTCTGGCACAGGGGCGTCTGTCACAGTGTTTTCATCAAGATTCTTGGTTTCACAGAATTTAGTATCTTCCTCTGAGCACCTCTTATTTTCATCGGGAGATTCTTCAGTCAAGAGAATATCTTCGCTAGAGGCAACTTCATCGGCAACATACGATTTTTGAGCCACATTAGCTTCTCCATGAGTTGAATCGTTGCTTGCAGTGAGAATTTCAGTAGTCTCGTCACGAGATCCATCAGTGGGCATTTCTTCGGTAGAAGGCAACTGTACATGAGAAACTTCAGCTGAAACACTGCCATCATTTCCCAAGGCAACGTCGACATTGTCTTTGTGAATTACACATGCGTTATCAATAATTGCATTCCGGTCCAATGTATCTAATTCCGAGTTTTCCCCTTCGTTCACGTTCGACAATTCTTGATTTTGTTTTGAATCCCTGTTAAGCTCGGAGGCTTCAGGATCCAACACTAGTTCTCCCTCAAAGGAAAGACTGACCTGCGCACTATTTTCATCTTGTGAGCCAATTCTCAATAAGTCATCATCCTGTTCAGGATCACCGGTCTTATGATCAGGATCTTGAGATTCTGGGATAACGTCGTCTATTCGCACGGCATCCCGTATGAGTGATTGTCTGTTGGACAGCGCGGCGCAGGCGTCGTCAGACCCCATGGAGCTCGTGGTGACGACGGACGTCTTGCTCTCTATGTATGCTGAGCTCAGGTCCAGAGACCTAGGCCGTCCTGCCTTGAGTCTCGAGCGTCGGTCCAGCGAAGTGGAACCTGCGCAGGACAACGAAGGATCGCTTCGTCTTGTGGATCCTGAGGACCCAACGCATGACAGGGAAGGGTCACTGCGCCTCAAATCCCCGACTATTCCTCCTCCGTCGTGGTTCTGAACGACCTCTTCGTCTGACCAGTGACGAAGGAGGTCCCCACACACCCCCAGCACCGCCGCCTCTTCGGTCCCACTGGGCGCTAGCTCCCCTAAGGGTGTTAGCCCGGTCCCACTTGAATTCCCAAATCCCCTGGGGAGCGTGTGGGCCCTCTTGACCAACACCTGCGGGTTTACTAGCTTCTTCGGGTCATCCCCAACATCCCGAGGCTGTGTCCTCTGTTGTGAGGCGTCTTCCTCGACGACTTGATCTTCGTTGTGAGGAAGAGGCTCTGTTTGTGTAGGGAGGTTATAGTACTCAGGGGTCATGAGAGTCATCAGGAAGGTGACTGGGCCGGTGTGGGCGTGGTAACTTAGTGTGGGTCGCCCACTGATGATGGGCACACCTTGCAGGCGGGGTAGAGGAAGCGTCACTGTCACGCCCACGCTGGTGCCCACCCACAGCAGCCCACGACTCACCACCAGCGCCGTCACCACCACACTACACGAACCCACCGCCACAGCTGCACAAATTAAATGGTTTATCGTCTTGTACTTCATGGCGCGACAGCGTCTTTTTATTAAAAGATGCTGCTAATTTCAAGCAACTTTTTCTCCGACTACTGCTTTCTTTATACAACTCGACCTCTCAACCCACTCGAAATCTAGTCAGGATTCACAAAATGACCAACACGATCTTTTGACTGCTGAACCTGAACTCACCAAGCATGAAGAACATAAGTCACTCCACAACACACTGCCCACTCAACAACCCACATCTCACTCCACAACCACTGCAAACTACATAAGCCACTGCACACTCTATGACCCACTGCCCACTCAACAACCACAGCCCACTCCGAACCCACATCTCACTCCACAGCCACTGCACACTCTACAAACCACTATGCGCCCCACAGCCCACTACCCATCTTGCCACCCACCGAGCATGCGGCACACGGAGGGCGCCACGTCAATATCCTGCAGGTGGCGGCAGCTCTCGGTGTGGTAGAGGCACACTGTCGACGACCCACCCTCACTCAACCACAGCCCGATGCCCGAGTGGGCCATCAAGCTCACCGCACCACCGTGGTGGGTTGACATTTGCTTCTGTCGTGATGAAACACGAATTTAATTGTCTTCTACGTGTCAAAAAAAAAAACGAATCAGATGAATGGCAAATTTTAGTTGACGACTACAGTGAACGTTCAGTAATGGAAACTATCAACTTACTTGTGCTATTATAAAATGACAACTGTCAACATGCGGTAGCTGTTAAAATATATCAGCTCTCTACTTACAGTAACTGTCAACATACAGCCACATTACTTTACTGTCAACCTACAGCCACTTTACTGTCAACCTACAGCCACTTTACTGTCAACTTACGGCCACATAAGACCCGTCAACTCACAACAACTGTCAAGGTGACGCAGTCGATGACCACCACCCTGTGATCGACGGCAGCGCAGAGCTGAGTTGCCAGGGGCAGCAGTGCCTTGACAGGAGCCTGTTCGTCGTCGCTGAGGGCAATGCTGGCAGCAGGTGACAGCAGCCAGCAGCTGTCAGCGGGGTCACGCTGGTACATCTGCAGCGATCCGTTCGTCAAACCAACGTACACCTGCAACAAATAACGTCTCGATTATATCAAGAACAAAATTCAACAACTGCTCTTTTCGTATGGCATGCGGTAAACATCTTTGAAATGAGTAAATTTTCGCCAGATGACGAAGCCGTTCCTTCGAGTCTCGCACGTAATGACGCGCTTACTCTCTTCTGTTGGCCTTGCAGTCCAGGAGGCATATTTTGTACTGTAGCTGGGGATTGAATGGAGCTAACACAAAACACAAGAGATGTGTATACCGGAAATGTGTGCACGGAAAACGTGTACCCAGGAAATGTGGGCACGGAAAACGTGTACACCGGAATCGTAAAGGAATTTGTGGAAGCCTTTCACCAAAGTTGACCATGGAGAGCTCCTCAGGGAATTATGACTACGATCCACACGGAGTGGGCCGGAGGAGATTCGTAAGAGTGGATCCACGACCTCCTAACCGCATATTACAATCTGTCGTTGTTGGGTCAAGCGAGGCGACGGTGAAAAGTGCGGTGTCACAGGGAACGCTGCTTGGTAAGATTCTCTTCCTCATTCACATCGTCGACATAGATGTGGAAGTGAGCCACGCGTTTACATCGTCATTTGCGGACGGCACTAGAGTACTGAAGACAATTAAGGACAGGGTGTTCCAGCGAACCTTCACGTCAAGGATCAGCGGGATGCAGGAGCTGAACTACGGGGCAGGAGCTGAATTACTGGTGCCTGGGTTTGTACTCACTGCAGAGGAGACGGGAGACGCAAGTCATTCTGTAAACATGGGAAATAATAACCGGACTGACCCCTAACTCCGAAAGCGGGACCTTAAGAATTGTGATATACAGCTGACAGCAGCGGCAGAAGAGGGATAATGTTTAATACCGAGAGATATCCATTAATAGGCAAGACACCAATTAAAATACTGAGCTGCACCACTCCCAGTGGCAAGAAGCAAGCAAGAGCATCGTGCATCAGCTGGCCCAACTGGAGGCAGATGCTCTGTGGTTACAAACTGGCCCATGAGACCTCGGCGGCGAGGATGACTTGCAAAGCGGAGCTTAGGGCGGCGGAACATTGAGGCGGCGTTCCAGCGTGGCCTGGGACTGCTACGTTCGAGCCACGTACCATGGGCACTAAGGATACAGGAAACGTTGCACAGGAAAAAATGTGAACCCTGGAACGTTCGTGGCGGTTGCTTACCATCTGGCAGTGATATAAAAGCGCCGACACGGCAGCAGGCAGCTCAGTGCGGCGCAGCTCCTCCTGCGAGTCGCACGCACTCCCGCTGTACACGAGCAGCCTGTGGAATGCACACAAACGATGACATTCTTATTTGACATAACCAAAATTTCTTCTCTAATGCACAAATTCTGGCCTATACATTTTACAATGAAGAAGCTTGTGAATATTATTCGATTCTTTTCTAATACAACATAGGCTTCAATTCTTGCAAGTTGACACAATAATAATAGCAAATAGAATTATATGTTCCATGTAACCCTGACGCCTGAAATGTGCCCAATATCGCGACATGCGCCCCACCTGTTCTGTAAGGTGCCGATCCAGACGGTATCCAGACTGAGGGGGAGAGGGGCGGCCGGAGGCGGGGTGGGGGTGAGGGGAGGACAAGAGGGAGGGGGAGGCACGTGAAGCATTGCAGTCACGCACACCTCAGACAGCACCGAGCGGCCACACTCACGCAGCCCACCCTGAAGAGGGAGAACAGCACCTCAGGCAATAGCGAAGGGCAGCGAGCATTTCTAATTAAGAGGATACATATTATGGGACGTTAGAAAAGGTTGATCTGCCCCATTCAACTCCACCTCTCTGCCCAACCAGGAGGCGGGAGCGGTCTAACCTAGGGACTGATAAACTAGCAGGGTGTGGGCGTCTCCGTATTGCAATAATATTTGTCTATTGACTAACTTGTTATTAATTTATTATAATAGGGATCACTGAAATATTATTGCATGGAAAAAAAAGGATAGTGGTAGCAATAAGGAGGACTGCAAGTATCATAGCAAAGACTGTAATTATTTTAAGAAGGAGATAAACGAGGCGAGCCTGACGAGGTGCGTGACGAAGCGTATGACGTAGGACGTGACGCCGTCAGTAGAGCACAGCCACACCGACGTCAGCGTCTTGCCGTAGCGCCGGCGCGCCCCTGCCACCAGCGACTTGAGGGGCACGTTCTTGGGCACGTCTTGTAGAGGGTACTGGCATCCACACACCACCTGAGGGCACGCGAGCTTATTAATTGAGAGCTGAGATGTGCCTAGTAATAGTGATACCCAACCGTGGCGTGGGGGTATAATATGGGGCACTATGTGGAGGGTATAATATGGGGCACTATGTGGAGGGTATAATATGGGGCGCTATGTGGAGGGTATAATATGGGGCACTATGTGGAGGGTATAATATGGGGCACTATGTGGAGGGTATAATATGGGGTGCAGTTTGTGGTATTATATGAGTTACCATGTGGGGTATAATATGGGGCACAAAGTGGGGGTATAAGAAGCGAGCCGCGGTTCCTACACGCAGGCCTTTAGCTGATCTCAGGGCTGGACTGCCCTCTGGAGTGTGACATGATTACATGCAACGCTATTCTGTGCCTTGGTCAGGTTCTTATGTCTAACAGACGCGTTTTAAAGAGAACAATGTAGAACAAAAACCATAGCCACACTTTAGCAAAAAAAATCAGTGCGAATCACAAACCAAAAGCAAATATAAATACAGAGAAAACGATCAATATTCAAAGGCCAGGTCCGTAAGTCATTACATTTCTTCCGAATGGACGGTCCAGTAAAAAGGTTTGAAAGAGGTTCTTGAAGTCGTTCTTAAGGTTTTTAATGAAGTTCTTCCGTGGTTCGTAAGAATTTCGTACAAGTTCGTAATAGGTTTGTAAAAGATTCCTATGGGGTTCGTTAGAGGTTCATAAGGGGTTCGTTAGAGGTTCGTAAGGGGTTCGTTAGAGGTTCGTAAGGGGTTCGTCAGAGGTCCATTAAAGGTTCGTAAGGGGTTCTTAAGAGGTTCGTATGAGGTTCACACGAGGTTCGTGAGTATCGGCTGCGGTATATAAGGACCTGGGTGTGGTGAGCAGCGTTCAGTATGGGGATGGCGGTGACGAAGAGAGGACGTCGGGACGGGGGACGCTGAGACGTGGCGTCGCCCACGTCCCACGCGGGGCTGTTCACGGACGACACGGCCAGCTGCGCCAGACGAAGCTCTGCCGCAGCGTGTAATGTAACGTTAATAATATATTAGTTACGGTGATTATTACATTAATATCACAGGATAATTATGTACCTAATTTTGATCCTAAGCAAGAATCAATTTTTATCAAGGCACAAGTGCTAGGAAAGAATTATGAAGCAATTGGTAGGCAAGACTGTACCGATAATCCAGTCTTTCTTGACGCCGGGATTCTTGACGTGGAAAGTGAAGGTCTCCTTGCCTGCCCTGACCTGCAGGCAACAGCCGTCCAGCCAACTCATGCGGTCGTCCCTTGCCTGGATATTCTGCTGGATCACGTCCAGCACTCCCTGCACCACGGCCCCGCTCAGCCCCTGTCAGTAGCATGACGTTACTTTAATTAATCTTCTTACAACTAAAATCGGTTGAGGAGCGTATATCTGCACAGTTTTTTTTTACAATTATTCAACAATTATATGAGGAATTTGTATGACAGCTCCCAGCACTCACGTCATAAGAGCCTTTGAGAGTAGCCACTAGTCCAGCAATCCGCGAGACGACTTGGTAGTCGTGCATGAGGTCGTTCATCTCGGCGCACAGCGCCCCTACCATCGCCTCGCTCTCCACGAGCGAACTGGTGAGCGCGCTGCCGTACATGTCGTACACACTGCGTCCGCCTGTCGCGGTTGTCTTACCTGCCCAAGGGTTATACGGCTGACAAATTTGTGGTAACAATAATTTTGTCCAGCACAATTTCAAATAAATAAACAATAAGATTGAACTCTAAAATTATTTCAATTTAATGCTACACCAAATATCAAGATTCATGAAGTACAGCGCCTTACCTAGAGAAGAGTTTCCCGTGCCAGACGTGCGCTGCGCCAAACCTGCTGCCAGCAGGCGGCTCAACGTAAGCGACGAATTGTTTTCTTGAACCTAAAAATTATTAATTTCATTAATAATCAAAACGATAACTTGTAAAGCTGAGATAAAAATTGTAATAACATGCATCTAAAGGTAAGTTCATAAGGCAAAAGCCCAAAAGCTACTTAATAATGTTCTAATTTTTAAGTTTTTCACATCATAGGTTGAAAATATTACAGGCGGACGGTTCACCTCAACCTCGGTGATGGGGTGAAACCACTTCAGGGAGAGACGTTCATGAGAGGTGACGTCATCGGACGTCCTGGGCACGACGGAGACGCAGATGACGGCGTCTGTCGTCAGGAACAGGCGACGTTCCTTCGTTTGCTTGATGAGGCCGTTGGGTCCAAACTCCTGCATAGAAGCAGTTATAATTACTGCCTGATATTAATTAACACTGATCACAACGAGTGCAGGCCGCTTGATGCTGATACAAAACACCAAGACAGGATTATTTAATATAAATCAACACAGCTGTCCATATAAACGTATGGGGCGGCTGTCAATTCGAACGCTCGTCGGGACGATAGAGGCGAAACCCATGGCGATCAGATAAATTACTTGGTATTTCCTGCAGTTGATAGTTCAAGTCAAGTTGTATAACTTGACACTTAGTAGTTCACGTTTACCGGTACAACTTGTATCTTACTAGACTTGGTTTAATGGGTTCCTAATCACATTTGAATATGCGAATCAGTGATTTCAATAGTTTTATTTTATAAATAAAAAAATTATACCAATTAGAATTCCATTAAAAGGTAAATAAAAAATTGAAGGAAAAATTGAAAAAGAATACAGTACAATATTTACAAAGTCGCTACAAAATGTGCTACGGAAGGAAGACGGCACCGAGGCCGTGAAGGGAGAGGATGAGACTCACCAGTTTGGTGAGGTCGTCTTGGCGGATGAGGCATCGGTTGCCCTCACTAATGGACCTGAGGGCAAACTTGCTGTTGATTTGTTTGAGTGTCGCCTTGAATGCCTGGTGCTGCTCCGACTCTCGCTTCAGCTCGTTCAGCGTCTCGGCGAGCGACTCGAGCTGCGTCAGCGCGAGCTGCAGCGACATGCGGTCGTGGTGCCCTTTGGGGGTGTGCTTCAGGAGGTCCTGAGGGAGCAGGAGGAAGGGAGGTACAAATCAGGGCATGAGAGACAGCAAAACGTTGAATATATAATAAATGAGCGCTCGATACAGTAGTGCAGGATGAGAACATACCATTCAGTTGAAGTGTAAACTATCTTAAGATTAAATTATAAGCGAGGGCGGAAATGAGGGGATTAGGTGGCACTGGGTCCGGCGGTATGCTGTAGGCCCCATAACAGAGCCCTGGCCCCGGCGGTATGCTGTAGGCCGCATAACAGAGCCCTGGCCCCGGTTTTATGCACACATTCACCATCATCATTCATCATCACCATCACTACGCACCTGCAGGAAGAGGATGAACTGCGGGAAGCGCTGCACGGGCTTCACCATCATGCCGAAGAAGGAGAGGCGGTCGGGGGAGGTCACCTGCCGCATCTGCCATGCCCAAGCAAACACTTTTTACTATCTCTTCTTTAAATACTGCAACTCTAATTAGAAAGATAATATATGTCTCATATAATTTTCCTACACATCTATGATGGACAGCCACATAACTGTTATAGGATTTGACCCTCAGCTTCAGAACGATGGTCCCTGGATATTTTTCCTGTATATTAACTACCGTTATTATAATTAGCATAGACGCAACACTCATTCCGCTAGCACAAGATCATTTCGTTAACTGCTCGATTAGAACCTTTTATGAGGATAAAACGAACTTTAATTTGATGAAATAAAAGAAGATGACGAGCAAACCTTGAGGAAGTCAGCGAAGACGCTCTTCCTGCTGCTCTCGAGCTTGGCAAGCTCCATGGCGCGGGTGAAGTTGTTGATAAACTCGCTGTAGATCTCGAGCACGACGCCCTTAGAGAAGCACGCGAAGAACACGTCGCCTATCTTCTCGTCCCTGTCCCAGTGCCTGACGCAGTCGCAGAGTGCCACGCGGAAGAGCGTGTGGCACTGAAGGATCTCGTACACGAAGTGGAACAGAGTGCCAATCTTGGCTTGGCTCAGGATCTGCGGCTTGGATTCCTCCAGGGGCTTACGGTAGTCCTGGGGAAGGATGGGGAGATGAGGTAGGGGCAGTGTATCTCTAACTGTGGGTAAATGTTCTAGGAATTTGACCAATTTTAAAGGGTATATAAGGAATGAGAGTTTGAGATAGAACGTACTCGAAGCACCACTCTTCCGTGTCCAAAGAATAACCTGTAATAATGCACGCACTCTAAGAAGCACCCCTCGTATCCTAATAAACGTTACACGTACCTTGAGAACCATTTCACGTGCCCCTGGGAGCTACCCACGTCTCGACAAAAGTACATTACTCACCCTGACGTGCCCTGAAACGTGCCTTACGTACCCTGACGAGGCGGTGCAGCGTGGCCACGTCTAAACCTAAGTACATTACTCACCCTGACGTGCCCTGAAACGTGCCCTACGTACCCTGACGAGGCGGTGCAGCGTGGCCACGTCTAAACCTAAGTACATTACTCACCCTGACGTGCCCTGAAACGTGCCCTACGTACCCTGACGAGGCGGTGCAGCGTGGCCACGTCTAAACCTAAGTACATTACTCACCCTGACGTGCCCTGAAACGTGCCCTACGTACCCTGACGAGGCGGTGAAGCGTGGCGACGTAGTTGTTCTCGCTGTGGACGATGGAGGCGACGATGTGGCGGCGCTTGATCTGCTGCGCCGTGAGCCCCGTGGGGATGGACGGCAAGCTGGGCGGCTGGTGGCGCCTCTGGAAGGTGTTGGCGCCCATGGTGCCAAGGGTGCTCCCAAGAGTCCCACAAGAGTTGGCGTAAAAGTTACTGGGATTGGTGCTAGCGTCCAATTCTGACATGCGTTCCTCCAACTCCGTGAGGCGCGGCATACGGGCGTTGGAGGGGGGAGGTGCGCCTGGGGGAGTATGGGAATATGAGTCATGTTTGAGATAGTGACAAGAAAAGAAAATTTGTTATAGTGAGGGAACATTGCTAGAAATTTATCATCAATCGGGAGTGAGGTGATTAGGTCATCACATTGATTCGATTAGTGAGGGTAAATTAGACGATGAGGGGTGCATAGGCGGAGAGAAAAGTGAAGGAGTTGAAGAAAAGCAGGAAATTCACAAGAGCGCGTGGAGTTTTGCTCCATACAGAAATGAAAAAAGGCATTAGATTGTTCTTAACACGGCATCCACGCGTAAGACGCACCAGAGGCGTTCCCAGGCAGCGAGGACGAAGAACACGTCGTAGACGAGCTCGAGCTCGACGAGGACGACGCAGTAGACAAGGTAGACGAGTTGCGGTAGTGCGCAGTACGCACGTCGTTGGGCGACGCAAAAACGACGTCTACCTCGTCAGGTGGCGCGGGGGGGTTCCGGCCCCCACCAGGAGCCCCGGCCCCCGCGTGTGACGTCCTGCGGTCGGCGTCAGCGGGATGGTTGCTTTTGCGCAGGGAAAACCAACGGGACAATTTGCCCGCCTCTGGACCGCCTGAAACTGAGCATTGAAATTCTCAGCCTTTGGTTTATTTCAGATTTTTGGCCTTTTTCTTGCATAATTTTTAATTCTGTTGAAAACTAAGCTAACACGTGGAACGAATAATGCTCACGATGAAAGAGCATCACAATATCCCCTAGTGTTTTAATAAAAACGATGATCAAACTCGTCGTGAGCCAAATGCAAGATTCAAGAGACTTGAAACAAATTAAAAACAACTTTAGTTATCTTTTGTATAAATTAGAGAGCCCGGGACGCGGAAGCTCGCCCACCTGCTGGGACGTCCTCGGTGCTGCCGAGCCTGCTGTCCCGGGGCGGGACGGCATCAACATCGGCGGCGTCCCGGCGACCTGCCGCCGTCCTGCCGACGTCGCGGCCGCTGCTCTGGCGGCGCTCCCGCCACTGCTCGCGCTTACGCAGCAGCCGAGCCTTCAGCCGCTCGCTGCGTCTGTCATGGAGGAGAAGTCTTATGATAATCTTGTGTTATGATGTTGTAGTTCTTCTTTATTGGAACTGGTTTAACGCACAGGAATTGCGAGAGAATTTAGAATGAAGAAACAAAGTAAGATCAATTACAATAAACAAATGAACTGAATAATATAATTAAGAAATATAATTAATTTATAACAAGAAATTAGAAGTTTAAGGTATTGTGTAGACGAAGTAGACTTTCATCAGGATATTTTTGACAGCCGGTCGTGAAGAGCTCGCACATGGACATTACGACCAGGAAATATGCAGACTTCAGAACTCGGCTCCACGTGAACCCTGCAGAAAGGCTTATAAATGGAAGAGAAGCCATTGCTTGGCTATTATTTCAAACAATCCATGCTCATTTAACTCCCCTGAAGCGGCCCGAAATGACCAAGTTGGTTATTTTATTTGCCAGAGCCGAGCTGAAGGGAACATCACCACAATCGAAGGCTTGGTACAGAAAGCTATATTCATCCCACAATTGGTATTCTCATTCCACAATTTCCACAAGCTTCAAACCGAACCTATCTTCACACCGGGATTATCTCTAGCATGTTCAGCATAATTATGTTAGTGGCACCACAGGTGCAGGCTTCTCACCCGCATCTCTCGCACGCACTGAAAAGCGCAGTAAATAATGTGAATACGTCGGTACTTGCCGCCTAATTGATAGCAAGAGGTCGCGCGTCATAGCATCAGTTTTAGCGATATTCCGACAGTGCAAAGTTCGTTACAATGAGAGTAATAGTCTCAGTCGTGCATACAAGCTTAAGATGCCAATGTTACTTCAAATGTACTGTAATTCGCCCCTAAAAATTAAGGATCTAATACGCCGCACGATACTTACACAAATTCCCAACTGAATCATCGCCAGCATTACCAAGCTCATTATACATCACTTCATTTTATAGCACCATGATAACCTGCCTCTGTTGAATTTGTAGTTCATTCGCACGTACGAGCTTGCCACAAAGAACAGCGTCAATAACGCGCATCGACCGCACGCTTCTATTTCCGTTGCAGTGACTGTGGTACCGGAAGTCATATTGATTTACCTAATGTTATCAATGGAAATAAAAACATTTGTTCAACTCTCGAAATTAAATTTGAGTGTCGGGACGGCATGAAACGATATAAATCAACATAAGGCGGACGAGAGGAGTTAATTTAGTCTACATGCATGATGCACAACATAGCATGTGGTCGCTCAGTTGGAATGTAGAGCAGCGACCCTGCTAACCTGCTAACGTGTACTCTGTAAAGTACACACAATTAAATTACGCTTTAGTAAAATACAAGATTTGGCAATTCAATCATTGGCATTAATAGAGCGCCAGCAAGTTAACCTGGCGTCGCTCGACTTGAATAAGTCATGATTAAATTAAAATGCATGGTAGCATAGATACGAGACCACAGCATAAGGAGGCGAAGTAGGTATCCGTGATACTAAGGTGATACTAAGGGAGGGCTCAAACAAACCAACGTCCCCACACGCTAAAATATCAGTTAGAAGTGCTACAAACTTCATACACGTACGCTAGCACAGCACAAATGCTGGGACAAACAAAATTTAGTCATTAATCCGTTGATCTATTTTGTGAAGCTGTAACAAAGAGAACATCATAACTGCTGTAACAGATCAAAACAGATCCGTGGGCTCCAACAACACTCACGACATAACGCATACGGCCGACAGATGACGTGGGCACCTAAGTCATAAATCTACGAGGTTGTCATGGCAACAGCAACACGCAACTAATGCCCTCCCTGGGGCGACGAGAAACTGATCCCTTCGTTAACGAGGACCAGACGAGCGTTTTAAGTCCCTGTGTACCACACAAACGATCCTACACGAGCCAAGCGTTTCCTTCAATTGTGTATTAACGCCATGTAGTGGCAATGCTCATAACTCTAATGACCTTGGATGGTGGCAGGCGCCGTACGAATAGCATTGACAGAGGATCTATTTTTGCACACCCGTGTGATTAGAGCGACAGTTGATCACCGCTGGCGTCAAAAGGGTGCTACAGGATCCACTGGAATGGTTTGCACGCTGATCGTTAAATAATGAAATAGTTTAACCTCACCAAGGTTGGATGGCCCTGTTAATCATGATAATCATGTAGAGCAGCATGATTCATCGTATCATGTATGACTACTAACGCAGATCGTCCTACTAAGAACACAGTATAACAGTTGAAATAAATTTCTGGTGATTTTGCATTTTCAACGCAACGATGCTAGTAAGATGGCTTCACTCGAACGCAAGGAGAATAAATGACGAATAATACAGAAAAATGTCAGCAGCATTCGAGCAACTGTATAGACTCCAATTAATTAGAATATTTGTGAATGCAGGAAATGAATGATGTAATTTCTCATAAATATGGAATTTCAGTGAATTTATTAACTCTTTCATTCGCAAATGCAAGTAATAAACAATTCATCAATAATCAAGTGACGATGTTACCACAGACAGCAATAACATAGTGGCGTTATGTTACCACGCATGTCGTCTACAGACAGCAGGAACATAGTGGCGTTATGTTACCACGCATGTCGTCTAAGTCGTCTACAGACAGCAGGAACATAGTGGCGTTATGTTACCACGCATGCCGTCTACAGACAGCAATAACATAGTGGCGTTATGTTACCACGCATGCCGTCTACAGACAGCAGTAACAACGTAGTTGAACACCCAACACGTACACTTCAGGAATTATAATCGTATTATGAATCACTTAAAACTATGGCCTTCCATGTCTTCATTGCTCTTTCTTCACAAAATCTAAAATATGCATGAGTGCCCGAAATATCCACGAAGCATTCTTGAGTTTATAAAATGTGCGCAAAATAATCATAGCTTCGTGTGTTATTCTTAACAAAATATTCACGAGTATACAGAATATTCAAGATTCGCATGATACAAAACTCGTACTCGAGCACACAAACAAAGACGCACTCACTCTGTATGGAGGTCACTTGAGAACGAAGAGGAGCGAACAAGCTGCCCCCCATTCCCCCCAGTCATGGGCAAGAACTGCCTCAAAGAACTCATTCTGGCCAATTTAGTAGAGCCTCCTTGGGCCTGACTGCCTCGAGAAACAGTCATGTTAGTGTCCACGTTCGTGTTCGTGTCCGACACACGACATTTCGGATCACCGAGCAGTCCGGAGTCGGGTTTTAGTTTGCGGATGCCGAGTCCCGCCGAATGCTGCGGGGCGGACTCGATTAGTGAAACAAAATCCAGTTCATTGACAGCTGCTCGCTTGGAAAATTGCGAACCAACTGAGCGGGATCTGGTGAGTGGAGCCACACTTGGACTGAAATTTTTTCCAGGATGATCTGCATCTGATTCAATGGCGTTTTCTTCGGCAGTAGTCGTGCTAGGTTTTGATCCATCAGATTTCTCTGCATGAATTTGGTTGAAATCGCTGTTGACTAATCCTTCTTCAGGTAAGCACGAAGCAGTCTGTACGTTAGATTTGGACTTCATTATTCCTGAACCAAGTGAAGATTCAATTTCGTCGCAGTTTACTGATTCTTCAAAGTCCTTCTGAACTTCATGACTTCGACCCCCTAGACCACCGACCTCAGAGCTGTCATTACTCAAGTTTACTTTTCGCTGCAACAATCGAGTATTATCATTGGTGGACACCGTCCTAATCTGGTCTGCATGAACAGCATCGCTATCAATGCTTGAATTCGAACCGCTCTCGAAGGACGTTTCCAGAATTCGCTCAAGAGTTGAACTGTCACCCGTTGGCTCTCTGATGTCTTGGGTGTGCGGTCGAACCTCTGTCCTGATGAAGTATTGACGAAATTATAATGATTAGTCGTCCCATCATATTTTTTAGGGTGTAGTGCAGATTTTTCTGATTCTTCAGCTTCAATTGAAGACTGCAGAGGCAGGCTATGTTGCATTGCGGATATGTCGACATTAGAGGAGGAGAACCAACTACGACGCTGAAATCCTCGAGCAACATTATCAGAGCCTTTCTGAAAATCGTTAGAAATCAAAAGTTTTGTGTCTAAACTGATGTTTTCGGGTTTTTCGACAGATGAGACACGCGAATTATCCAGAACATTTGCGTGAGCTTGACATTCAAAAGAACCTTGAACAGGAACGTTGTTGTTCAACTCTCCCTTTGAACCGATTTCTGGCTTTTTGAATCCGTCAGTGGAACTCAACTCGGTGGAACGTGAACGAAAAAGGGAGACGTTCGTTTCGCTTCCCCAGGACCGAACACGACGGCCATGTTTATACGCCACGCTTAGATGTTCATGCAACCAAGGAGCAAGTCTTCGGTGAGCATCCTTCACCGTTTCGGGACAAGATCGACGTTTATCCATTCCTGTACCATCAATATTATAGAACTCAACAGCAAGTGGCTTCCCACGAAGATTTGAACCCCATCCTCCCGCAAGATTAATCGCATTCTCGTAACTATTTTTCCGGAAGCGTTGCGCATCACACCCACACTCAGTCCTGTTCCCATGGGGACGATCGTGCTCACTTCCAAGATTAACCAACGTCCCAGGGGGAGCTAGGTCAGCGTCCCGGGCGTTATTTGGGATACTTGGCTGATGCCAGTCTTCAATCTTGGCGGCCGCGGTTGACGGGGCACGCGATTGATGGTCCCGAGCGGGATCTTCTTCGTCGGTCGTGAAGCGCTTGAAAAGACTCCGCAAAAACGAAGGTCGACCCGATGAGGATTTATCTAGTTTCACGGCGGTGTCCATTTAAGCTTTTGGCGATTTGTTACGAAGTCATGAAAAAATGTAAAATAGCAAGTTTATAATAACATTATTTGCGATCAAATTGCACCATCATTGATCATAACGCTGTAACGTCAAGCCTAACAATCAGCAATATCTGACACCGAAATCATGGCAAATCTGTAATTAATTATACCAGGAGTAGGAATTCTTTTTCTGCAATATTCAAGAGACATTTAACACTTTCACGAAAAATTTTTGGAGGTTAAATTTAATAAGAAATATGATAGAATTAGAGAATAAATTCAAAAGCGCACTAATTTTAAAGGCGATAATAATTTCGAGACAATTATAATAAAGAAATTGTGACGCGTCAAAACAATCGGGGGGCCATTCTCTCCAGCGAACCTGTGGCAGAGTGGGGCGATAGCAGCAGCAATCTGCGGCATGATATTGCGTCATGTGGCCTACATACTGAAGCGATAACAGAAACATGCAACATGATATTGCATTGTGTGACCTATATAGACCCAATACCATAAGAACATAAGAAGGTATGTTCCGGGCAGACACTTTCGATTCAACGTCAAGTGTGTGTGACGGTGGTTCACATGATACACGAAGACAAGTGTGAGCGCTACACGCTGAAGGGCCAATATCAACACGCTATCTGGCCTATACGTTGCAGTTCTTGGCATATCAGAAGCGAGGTTTTTTCTAATCGTAGATATCACCGCCATTAGGCGATGCCAAGTTCCGGTTCAACAATTGGAGAAGAGTCAACTTTTGTGTTCAAGTGGAACCCCCAACGGCGCAGTTACGTCCATTGTCGCCACATTGATCAACGACAATCTAGGGCGTTAGACCATCAAACAATCAATATAAAATTATCGAATAACTCGAAAATATGAGGATAGTGTGTGGATAAGTTTACAGCCAATAATAATGATTGGAAAGGCAAGAACTTTGCGATATTATTTTTGTTGTTGAAGCGCAAACATGGCTTCGGCCAGTACGAGAGTATGTCCGGCCAACTAACGCGTCCACAGCCCACACTTGTACGGGAAAACTGCTTTGTTTACACTTGTCTGCGGTCTTATGTACAGCAGGAATATAAGCATACAATCCTGTGCGAGTACTGAAGACATTAAAATGTGTTAACACGGCCGATTGTGTTTTAAAACAGCACTTTGAAATTGATTTTCTAACACCAGCTGTCACAGAACACTTGCTCAGCAGCATTCAAAACACCTGAACAACAGGCCAGGGAGTTTGCAAAGATGTAGCACCTAATAAGTGATTTATATTAATAATATTGAACCTTCCGCCTAGGGGAGAGATAAGAACTAATATCCATCGCAAGACTCCCATCCGCAAACACACACCATGAACGTCGTCACAGAACTGAGGAACATCACGTCACAGACAGCAGTATCGTCGTTATCAGCGTTATCAGTGACACCTTTTCCCCTCTTCCCCCACCCCATTCCAAGATCGGTGATGCAGTGATCGACAGCAAGAAAATCAGAAGACACAACAGCGGTTAACATGACTCGGTCAACTCTGCTTGACATGGCGCGAAAGATAGGTAAGTCAGGCTAGCTAACTTGGAGTGACAGGCTTGCCCGAGGTGACATGTGGTTTGCCCGGTAAGACGGGTTTTTCAGGTGTGACTGGTTTACCGAGCGTGTCAAGTTAACTTGCCGGTCGTGGCAAGTTAACCGAACGTGGCAAGTTAACCGAAGTTAACCGAACGTGGCATGTTAACCGAACGTGGCAAGTTAACCTTGCGTTTCTCGAATAATGAAATTATTTTCTGAAAGGCGCCACGGTTGCAAGGCATGATGGTATCACAGATACGATGAGGAGGGGGGAGGGCAGGCCCAGCGTGACGCTAGTATCCCTGATACCAAGAGAGGCATACAAGGAAATTAGCTTCCCATTCTATGTCCTGAGTCGTGTAGCTTCTTGTTGCATGCGAGTCACACTGCTGTGTGATGTACGCAAGCAAATAAGAGAGAAATACAACCTATACAGAATGAATACAGAAAAATGTCATAAATACAACCTACATCGGAATTATATTACCAGAAAATATTCAGTAACATAATAGACTCACCCTCCGGCTCCAGCAACGGACTCCGAACTGCCGGACACGGCGCCAGCTTTCCTGAGCGTCTCGTCCCTCACTGGGACTTCCTCGGCGCTCTTGACGCACTTGAGTTTGTTATGGAGATGTTCGTCGATATGTTCCACGTTCTTCGAGGAGGGAACTTCTTCGTCGTTAATAGAGCTTCTGGAACGTTCCTCGTCGTGTCTGGAAAGGTCCTCGTCGTTACTGGAGTACAAGTCGAAGTCCTCGGAGCCCCACGAGTCGGAGGACGACAGCTGACGATGAGCCTGGAGACGTTTAGGTAGCCATGTGATGTCTTCGCTGCTGTTTGACAGGCGGTTTTCATTAGCTTTCGTAGACGTGTTGGTGTCCAGTGACGTGCAGTCGCACGAGCTGCGCTGGGCTGGTCTTGTGGTATTTTTGGTTACTGGGTGTGGTTCTGAGGTGGTATTTTTCGAGGATGAATGTTGTTCTGGAGTGTTCTTATTCTGGCGTAGGTTTGAGAGACCTTGTAGCCCCGACAGTCCTGGTAATATGGACTTGCCAAAGTATGATTTAGATTCTGGTTTGAGCGACAAGTCGGGTTTGGAGTTGCGGTTGCCAGCTCGTCTTTCGACCTGCAACTTCTCCGCAGCCTCCTTCGGTCTCAACTGGACCTTTTCATCCGATGCGGGGTCGAGGCCTTCTCCAAAACCCACATCCTGATCTGGAATGTAAATAAAATATTTCTTATCGAACTGAAAAAATAGTCCCAATTTTGAAATTTAAATAACATTTACGGCGAAATTGGATCGGCCCCAAAGTTTAGAGTTCTCGGCAGTTAAAGGCTCTAAAAATATGCGAGAATGTGAATAAATTCGTATGCCGAATCAGAAAGCAATCTTTCTGTTAGCGAAGAAAAATTTATTGAGAATTACTCAACAAAATAAATTTAATGAAATTGGTCGTATTTATTAAAAATTTCTATGCGACCAGCTCCAAAATAAGTTCAAAAGCTTCATCAATACAAGTTTCATGAATAGAGAGACAAAATTAATAAAGAAGAGATTGAAACCTAAATAGCCAGATGATAGGGGAAATCAACCTTTTTTTATTAAAAATATTCATAAAAACTATCATTTTTATTGTCGTACAACTGATTGGATAAACGTGCATTATTCGTGTTTTTGAACATATTATACATATTATAGATATAGCCAATCTTCGAAACGTTTTTAATGAAAAATAAATTTGATATTTGCTTCAATTTTGAATTTTTTCGTGGTTTATGATTGGAGTAACACTGAATTTGACGTTAATGCTCTTAGAATTCAATTAATAGGACGTGGAAAAATAAAACTTTAAAATACAAGAACGATATACGATGTTTCATTCAGAAACCAGTAGTCGGAGCTCAATAATAGTGAAGTAATATAGTAATAGATAATGAAGCTAGTGCATCGTTCATGTGCAGGAATATCACAGTTCAGCGCGACGACTGTGGCTGCCTTAATTTCGATATCTTTATTTTATATAACAAGTAATTGAAATGCATATCATCAATTATCTAAGAACAAACTCAAAAGTATATCCAATTGCACGAGATTTACTTATTTTAGACGTTATTATCGCGGCAGCTTAATTATTCCCAGGAGAATTTAAAAGCAACACACTCGTAAACTTTACGACCACCGCAATATCGAGAGCTTGAAATTCTGAATGGCAAGCCCATGAATTGAGAGCGTGGCCTTTATTTTGTATGACCGGCCATTGCCGCTAACGGCCTACGGTGATGACTGTTGCGCCTCACACCACCTTCAGGGGCACCTATTATGCCGCACCACCATCCTTTAGGTGAATCACGCCCTCCCTTTAGGAGCACCTATCATGCCTCAAACCCACCCTTTCGGGCAGCTATCGGGCCTCAAACTCACCCTTCAGAGGCACCTTTTTTATCCAACACCCACCCTTCACAGGCGCTTCGCTTTCCTCGTCCTCTTCATCAATGGGAGGCGGGAAGAACAAGGCACCCGTCACGTGAACAGACGGGGGCCTCACATTCAGGTCTTTGTTGGCAGCATGTGGATCTTTGTTGGCCGAATTTGAATCTTTGTTGTTGACATGAGGTATTATTTTATCGACATGTGGTTCAACATTGGCAATGTGTGGTACTATGCTGGCAACATGAGGGTCCAAATTGTCACTATGAGTATCTTGGTTGGCAACATCAGTAATTGTAGAGCATGGCGTGCAGACAGTTGAAATATTGCAGCCATTCACGTCAGGTGTCATGTCGGAAATTCCGCCAGAAAAGGAATCGACTACAACAACATTATTCTCTTGTTTTTCCTCATCTGCAGCTGCGAAACGTTCATTTTCTCCACTTGGAAGAATTTCCATCGCATTATGAATCACTTGGGAGCTATAACATTCTCCCCCCATGTCTTGCGAAGAAGCTGCGTGAGAACTATCATCCACCAAAGTTATACTGCATACTTCAGCTAATAAATCAGCGGAGTCAGCATGTCTCAGAGAATGAGCTTCAGCATGCGACGAGTCATCGCAACACCTGTTCGCAGCAGCAGCTTCCTCGGCTTCCGCTGCTGCAATAGAGTGGGGCACGGCATCGGAGAGGACAGGCAAATTATCATAGTTTCCAGGAAGGATACTAGCTGGAATGTCCGTGATATGGTGTATGCTTTGCTCGCGAACAGCATCAATTCCGGGAGGAACGCTGGTACTGCACTCGTCAACAAAAGATTCAGGGATTCTCTCGGGGTAGAGGAGCTTGCCCATTTCTTCCTTGTGGTCGATGCTGCTGCGCCGTTTATCCCAAGTCCTGCTATCAAAACCTCCTAGGCTGCAGGAACCCAAGCTCCACTTATCACAACCTTCCAGTTGGTTCTCAGCCTCAGTTGAAAGTAAATCCAGAGCGTCTCCTATCTCGGACAAATCCAATCTGCGTTTGATGGAACCTATGTCGTGGCCTTGAGCAGGGTTGGTCGTAGAACTGTCCTCGTCTGAATCCGAGTCGAGCAAAACGGCGTACTGGAAATTGGAGTTTAGGCTTTCAAATGGCAAGGACTCAGGATTCAAGTCTTCATCAAGTTGTATCCCGATTAAAGGAGTTTGTTGGTGGCATTCATCGACCATGAGGTTACTAGGAACATCAACTAGTAACCTATTGCAGTCTTCACTCAAGACCATCAAAGATTGACTGAAGCTCATGTCTGGGACATCAGAACATGTTAAAGAATTTTCAAACGCACTCGTCGTATGATCATCACACATACCCGACGCGTCATCACCACATACACTAGTGATATGATCACCATATACACTCGCTGTATCACCACTACACATATTCGGTGTATCACCACCACACACACTCATGGTATGACCCAGCTCAGTGTCACCAACAGGATGGTCTGAGGACGGGGCCAGAGGAGTTGTCATTTCGTTTGCAGGTTGAGAAGTCGTCTCCAAGAGCGTGACGGCTTTGAATTCGCTGTTGATGACACAATTTCGAGCTTTCAGTTCATCGTGCTCACGATTTGAGGTCACTTTAAGGTTCAGGAGTGTGTCCTCGACATCGTAGATCACGACGTTTGTTACGTCGATAGCTTCGTCAGCGCTGGTGTTCAATTGGACGTCAATCGCTTCATGTTTACCAGGGACGTTACCCATGGTAATTTAAACTGACGTCAAGAATGACATATTGAACTTGGGCATGCATAACTCATCATATTGCATTCATCTTAATACACAACGGTGACTAAGGTAACTCTGCTGGCGAGAAAGTTACGTTTTTATATTATTTGTTCAGAGCGGGCATGTCAATTCAAGAGCTTAATCATTAGCTAACGTTTTCGGTAATTTATACCTCATAATATTCGAAAGTTAAATGCAATTACGAATGGTAGGAATGAATGCAAGGAACCTGGAAGCAAAACTGAAACCCACTAACATCTCTGACTGCAAATAAAAAACAGAGGCATTCAAGACTTTCCAAGTCCATTCAACTGCAGCCAAATCTGATGTCTCATGAACACAAACACTAACGAAACCAAGATAATGATCAGCTGCAGCAGGTACACGCAGCTGCAGCAGGTACACGCAGGTGCAGCAGGTACACGCAGCTGCAGCAGGTACACGCAGCTGCAGCAGGTACACGCAGCTGCAGCAGGTACACGCAGCTGCAGCAGGTACNCAGCTCAGCTACGCCCGTTCACCCACAGCTCAGCTACACCCGTTCACCCACAGCTCGCGTTGTTCACGGTTATGCTACCTAATGTCGTCGTCACCCAACACACGCAGCCATCACTTTACAGTTACAGCGGCCTGCTGTGAAACACAAGACCGACGTTATACAAGCCAAAGAGTAATACAAAATTGGTATGCTTATACATGTTCTGTAGCTGAATGACATGGGCATACAGACACGTCAACAGAATAGCGTGTCATGCGCACACGTAGCCACCGACACGCACGGGCACACAGCAAGGCATCGCTTCACACCAGACGCGCGCGCTATCAGCACAGCAGCCTGCCACTATCGCCACGCGCCCCTATACGCACGCTACGCGCCTCTCACGCACGCCACGCGCCCCTATATACACGCACGCCACGCGTCCCTCACGCACGCCACGCGCCTCTCACACACGCCACGCACCTCTCACGCACGCCACGCACCTCTCACGCACGCCACGCGCCTCTCACGCACGCCACGCACCTCTCACGCACGCCACGCACCTCTCACGCACGCCACGCACCTCTCACGCTGTCTCTTATACACATCTAGATGTGTATAAGAGACAGGTTTTGTCCCGACCATTGACTTCTCTCATGGGACTCTCAGACAAGACTAAACTCAATTGGACTGCCGAAATGGATGAGTCATATGAAACTCTCAAGAGCGCCCTATGTTCAGCCATGGAATTGGCTTATCCTGATTATAGTGCAGATGCTAACCGAATGGAACTATCAACTGATGCATTGGGTACTGGTGCTGGTGCTGTCTCTTATACACATCTAGATGTGTATAAGAGACAGGTGCACTACACCGCGGCTCCCACTTCTTCACTTTAACATCATAATGACTATTCTCGTACTGAAGTCAAAGCACTGGTTAGCATTTAGAGGGGGCCCATTGCAATCGAATTATTCGGGATAATGGAATAATTTGCAAGACATAAAGTGGAGCAATTTTATGAGCATCTTATGTACGCGTACTCGATTATTTAATCATGCTATTTTGGATTATTATAATCTTGGGAAAAAATTGTCCAACATTCACAGGAATGTCTGTGATGGTTCCTTTGTGTAATGTATTTCCGATACATTTCACAAACCTGCGATAGACTTTCTCTCTAATGTTAGGCACTACGCACAGTACGCAGCACACACGCACACTACACAGGTTGGAGAGGGACTGTACTCACTAAAAACACATGGGACTGTACTCACAGGAAAGAGAGAGGTATATCATACTGTACACTTGGAAGATGATAACCGAACTGTCTCCCAACTTCGAATTTGAGATCTTCACTTCAGAATAGTGACATATTAGAACGAAGGGAGATGGAGACTGTGCAGGATTCCCCCCATTCAATAACCGCACCGCGACAAAACATTTTTGACCCTTCCATTACGCAGAATTTCGTTGTTTAACAATCAACTAATTTTAGCATAAGTCAATTCTAAAAAGGGATTCAAAAAGGTGTTACCATTTGTCAGCATTTCTGTCGAAGTGGAACGCTGCCATGAGAGATACCGATCCTGATATATGGTATTTTCTAAATTAAAATCGATAGATCTTTTTCGATTAAAATGTCTTTTATCAATAATTTTTAAAGTTGATCGACAAGAAAGGCTTGTGACAACGGAGCCAGCTTTCGTCTCTCCTGATCTGAAACGTTTGAAGTTCTCCAAACAGTAGCACGAAATTTTAAATGTACTTATAACTATATTTATAATAGAGACATTGTGCTTAATTTTGTAGAGGATAACTTTTTTCACTTCGGATTTTTTACTACACTTTACTGTTTTTATAACAATTTATAATTTTTTCATTTTCTGTATAGTGCTTCACTCAATGGATTGAATCCATTTTGACAACATAGTATAAACTTTTGAACTACTAAGGTGATATGATGTAATTGACGATCTTGTCGAAAATTTTTCTTTTGTTGTTCTTGCTCAAACAAAACACATTTAAAACATCTTCGTATCATGTCAACATTCACTAATATTGCAAGGTTCGCTGAACTATTCCCAACCACAACTTTACTCGTGCACAAGCTAGAAACCATCATGTTTTAATGGCATAACTGAAGGTCAATTTTACCTCGATATCAAACGAAATATCTATAGCTAGACATCGAAGAAATAAAGATAAAATACGCGTTCTATGTAACAATTCAAGATAATAATACAGTACAATAAAAAACTCTACATCCAACACCAGACACGCGCATGCAACTTCTCCGCCGGCCCGGGTGTAAAGGAGAGAGAGAAGAGGGCTGGGACTCGCGAGTTGGTTAACATGCTGGAATAACCGCTATGCATAAATCGACTTATGCCATATTCTGTTTACTAATTTAAAATTAAATAATTACTTGTATTCTGGAGTATCACCTCAGTACATATCATCTTTAAAAAAATTTAAACTACATATCTTTGCAGCTACTTTGAAAATGGTTTGATCGGAAAGTTCTTTGAGATTGATTGTCAGGTATCCACCTAAAAAAAATAGTTGGATATCGAATTTTAAGTCGCTTGCCGCCCAAACCGCTCAAACACGATTTGAACAGTTTTCCACCAAAAATTTCTATTCGATAGAACGAATACTATGGATATGATTACGGAACAAATGAATACAATGCAAATGATTATGACACTAATGTGAATATTCCAACGAAACGTAAACTCTTGAAGCATCAACCAATTAGTAAATTGCAATTGAGTAACTAATAGAAACATTTCAGGAAGTGGTCAATAACAACATTGGTTATTGTATATGTTAAACGGTATTAATATTTTTTCAACTATAAGAAATGGAAAATCCAGGCCAGGCAATCGAGTTTCCACGTAATCCAGTCTCAGGTCCGCCGGGCAAACCGCGCCGCGAGCTGCAGTGAGAAGTGAATACTGAGAACCGGTTATGTCCAGCTGCTGGACCGGGGCTGCCATGTACCGGTACTGGTACTGGCACGCGTACTGGTGGGGGTACTGGTGCTGGTGTGGGTACTGGTGCTGGTGTGGGTACTGGTGTGGGTACTGGTACTGGTGTGGGTATACGCAAGGGAAACCGACCACACCAGATTACTTGAAATATGTAATGAGAATGCGGCGAGAACTGCCAACTTCGAGAACTGAGCTGCAACACATACTACACAGAGGCTGTATGAACACATGCTACACAGATGCTGTATAAATTGATGCGTAAGCTGCGTAACTAAACACGCTACCGGAAGCTCTGAAATGCTGGGCAGAAGTTCCCACTAGTTACGACGGTCGGCACGATATTATAAGATGGACTGACACTGACGACATTGACACTAACTAGTAACTATGCATATATATTTTACATTTCGACAATTAAATTGACTAAGAATAAACGGCAAAACACTGGCACCATTGAAATTAAATTTACACGATTAGAGACAGATGCACTGCACAGTTGAAGTTAAGAATTTTTGTGGACACGAATAGAGCAATAGATGAGGGCGATGAAGAGAAGGTTTGAGGTACAAACAGAAGAATTGGAAAACTGGACATGAACATAACTGAGGGAGAATGGGCGGTCGACTAGGATATAAACTATCTGATGTAAACGGTAACGAAGAGAAACGTGGACAAATTTTCGAGGAACGAGAAGTAACCAACGTAAGTACAGTGACGTCACGTAACACACAGGACACACGCACACACACAAACAGAACACACACAGGGCGAGGAGTATCTGTATGTGGGGCGGGGGAGGTAATAGCACAATTAGATAGTGATGACATTGATGCTAAATTGCCAGCCCCCGATGAACGGACGGCACATCATGCGATCACAAGTATCTAGGACACAGCGCTTGTGTAACCGCGCAGAAATATTATACCAATTCAGGAGTCACACTCTGCACGACGATGTATTTCAACCATTTAGAATAATGCATAACTGTTTATTCGATTAGATTTACTGGCACTGCACTTAGTAACGTCATATCTACGCCGCAGTTTCCCAATAACTCATCATTCAGTAGTAGCCAGTAAAGCAGGCACACATCACAACTCTGTTGTAGGTTGAGACGCTGATCTACAGTGGACGCCGAGTGGTCCGCACCGCCAGCTGCGCACGTCCTCACCCGCTCACTGCCAAGCGTGCACTGAACTGCCCGCCGATGGCCTGCAGTTCCTTCTAATTTTCCTGTTCTTTTTATTCGCCGGATTCGACGTCAGTAAATTTCTCGCAACGTTCCGACGAATGAGGTGGGAACGCCGCCGCGATTATCGCGTATCCCGCATGCGTATGCGTCAACGTATGCGTCGAGCCTGCCAGCGGATACGTTGCGCAGATGGCGTCACGGAAGCCAATTTTAAACGTACATTAGAGTTTGACCGAACGCAAAAAATTTACACATGCAACGGAAAAGCAAGTTAAGGTTTCACACCTCATGATGGGCATGCAGTGTTTATACCTCAAGCCCGCATTTCACCCGTGCCCGAGACCCCTGCATTTCACCCGTGCCCGAGACCCCTGCATTTCACCCGTGCCCGAGACCCCTGCATTTCACCCGTGCCTGTGGCCTAAAGATAAATTAGCATTTCACCCGTGCCCGAGACCCCAGCATTTCACCCGTGCCCGAGACCCCTGCATTTCACCTGTGCCCGAGACCCTCGCATTTCACCCGTGCCCGAGACCCTGGCATTTCACCCGTGCTCTAGACCCTTAC